GGCCTTTAACTTCTACGCCATTGCTAACGCTGCATCTGAGAGGGCAAAATTTAATCGGAACAATGAGCTCCTTGACATGATTTTTACTGTTGCTGCACAATTTGGAGACATTCCCATCCTCATTGCCGGCGACTTTCAGATGGAGCCTGGAATGTACCCAGCTGTTCAGCTCGCCCTTGACCATTGGGGCTGGGCAGATCCTTTGCTGCAGACGGATGAACAGGGAAACGTCGTAAGACCAAGTACTTTCTTCCAAGCAGCAGCCAGCGATGCTGATGGACAGTCATCCATTGATGGTATTCTGTTGAACAGAACTGCATTGACAGCGTTGCTCAACATTGAAGTCCTCGACCATCGATCAACATAGACCAGTCAAGGCCACCTTTATGTGGGATCGGATCCTTCAGGTTGGGACCATGATGCAGCGTGCTGCTAAGCTCAACCTGGATCATATCCAACGAGCTGATCCTGATGACTTAGGGTGTCCTATCAATGGTTTCAGTCAGTGAGCAGCTCTGGCATAGTTATGCACCTGACTTCAACGATGCTACGGATGCTGACGCTAAATGGGATGTATTTAATGCCTATGCTGTTCAGCTCCTTCTCCTCAATGGAGCAAGCTGGGAGAGAGGGCCCCGCACTCGTGGGAAGATCCCCAAATTTCATAAAGTTCAAGCCTGTGCTGACCAAGGAGCTAATGGTGATCTTGCCTCACCTCACCTTTTGTTGCTGCAATCTGTACTGCGATCATTGCGGGAGCTTGAGCTCCGCTTCAATAGAGATGCGACTGGGCCCGGTGATGTTCGCACCTTTCGAAACACCCAACATCGCCTTCTTCGAAAGTTGAAAGTTGCCAAGATCACGCCGTACACAGTCCGGCAGATTTTTGTACATGATCTGCCACACTTGGTTAAGATCACACTTCATGCGATTCGGGAGGAGATGAAACAGATCAAACTTGCTGCAATCAAAAAATGGCGTAGTGCCATGAAACTGGCCACGACATCGCCCACCATCGGGAAGATTGTTTACCAGTACCTCAAAAGGAAGGGTCGGGTGGTACCACCTAATTTGGTTGAGGACGAAGCGGGCAATATCATTTATGACCCTCAAACAGCAATGGATGTTATTGCAGACAAGTGGGACTCGGTCTTCTCCGTAAATGTTGAACATACCCATGAGATGCAAATTCTGAAAGAAGTGTGGCCTTATATCCTTGATAAAGGGCAAGCTATCTCACTGCCACCGATCACGGAGGAACAGTTGTGGAGTCAAGCAGCCAAGCGACGACCCGATGCGGTTGCTGGCATGGATGCATGGCAAACCAGGGAGGTTCAGGCACTCCCACCAGCAGCATTTCGCCCTGTTGCTGCCCTTTTCAACTCGATTGAGGAGGGCGCCGTTGAGTTCCCCACCATTCTCACGCAGGTTCGTATGGTCATTCACAGCAAGGACGGGAGTGATGCGCCCCTCTCCAAACGGCTCATTTCCCTCCAGTCCGTATTTACACTGTTGTACACAGGACTTCGATTTTTGCAGCTTCAGCAGTGGCAGCAAGATGTGATGCCTCCACAGCTGAAAGGGGGTATTAAGGGCCGGCTGATGTCCGAAGTCCATATGACCATGCAAATGGAGATTGACAGGGCTCACAGCTTTCATGGCTCTTTTGCTGCACTCAAGTTGGACAAAGCCAAGTGCTTTGATCGGTTGATGCCCAAGCTGTGTGCGGCCATCTGCTGACACTTGGCCTCCCGAAGAGCTTTGTTTGCGGGTTTCTTGCCTTATATACTCGTATGACAAGATTCCTTTCTTTCAAGCAATGGACCCGAGATCAGCCAATAACCACACCGAATGGTGTTGTGCAAGGACGCTCGCTCAGCCTGCTCTGTATCAACATACACATGGCAATTTGGGCGTGGCTTGTTTGTCATATTGATGGTGTCGACTTTAGAGCGTTCATCGATGACACATACTTGTGGACTCGGCTGCCCTCCATTGACAACCTGGTTGCTGCAGTTCGGGCCACTGAGCTTTGGGATGCACTCTGTGGACAGTTTCTCAATGCCAGCAAATGCGAGCTTTTTGCCACCACAGCTGAGCTTCGGAAAGCCCTTGCAGATGCGTCTTGTTGAGGTGGTCAACATCCTCGGGGCCCACGTGCAAACGACCAAGAAGAATGTTGGCAACTTTCCGCTCACAAAGCTGCAAGCCGCCCTACGGGACTGCGAGGCTATCCGTGCCCTGAGCAAAAGAGCTCAAATCTTGGCCACGAAGGTTCTACCCCAAGTGGCATTTGCGCCCCAGCTGAACTTCCTGCCGAAAAGACTATTAGCTTGGCTACAAAGCTATAGCTGACGCCATCTGGCAAGACAGACCCAAGTGGCGTTCGAAGCACCTATTGCTGTGCGTGGTACATAAGGCTCATAAATTGGACCCTTTCCTTTTTCGAGCAGTCACTACAATCATTGAGTCTGTGAGGTTTCTTCGTACATCTGGCTATGCCAGGCAGTGCTGGTACGCTATCTATGAGCAAGGCCAGTTCACAGCCCAATCTTGGATGACGCAGTTTGCCCAGGCCTGTCAAATCCTGGATATTGACTGGTGTAGTCCGTTTGGCTTCTCTGTCTTCGAGGCCTCTGAAGTGCCTTTCTTGGACTTTTCCTTGGGTGATGTCAAATGCATCCTCAAAAGCTTGGCCGCCCATAAGTGCTATCACACAGCGAGCACGATACCGCGGAAGGACATTCATAAAGCCACTGGTTTTTTGGACCTGGGCCTCACTCTCTCCGCCAAGAAGAAGATGGCAGTATCCCAAATGCGAACTTTTCCTTTACCTTCCATTGGGAAAGTGCTATAACAGGCTGCACTCTGACAGCCGATAGACTGGCGGCCTCCGGCCTCGTGGACAGTCCACTGTGCAGGTTCTGTGGCTCAGCTAAGGAATCGCTCCAGCATTTCGTGGATGATTGTTCTTCGTTGCCAATGGATCTACAGCAGCCCTCATCGTGTCATTCTTCTGGACCGAATTTTGACATGCTTGGGATCGCTGAGCTTCCTTTGGATGTGATTCGTCGGAAACTACAGGTCTCGCAGCCATCCGACTTACAGGTCAATGCATAGGCTGCGCCGCTCCCACATACACGGCATGTGTGGTCAGATGGATCAGTTCAGTTATCCCACCATCCTTGGCTCACCCTTGCATCTTTCGCTGTTGTAGCAGAGGATGAACAGCTACTGGTCGCTGGCAGAGTGTGCCACTGGAGGTTATCCAGCTACAGCGCTGAACTATGGGCTGTACTGGCCGCCTTTGCCATTGCATCACAACCTATTGTGGTTCATACAGACTCCCTCACTGTTGTCAATCAGTTTAATGAGCTTCTTAGGCTGGGGAGTGTACAAGTGGAATGGACCCATGCAAACTGGTGGGGCTTCCTTCTTGCCCTGCTTCACCAACGTAGGGGTTTCTGCGAGGCTCCGCTTCAACTTGTTTGGTGTCCTGCCCATCTGTTAGAACACATTCCGGCCGACTTGCTCACGGAGGAGGCAGCCACCTATGCTGGATCCTGCAAGCGTGACATCCTTCTCAACCGAGTGGCAGATGATTTTGCTAAGCAGCAAATTGCGAAGATTGCGGTACATGTCAAAGCTGATCTACGTATGAAAGAAACAGATGTTTTTGCACGACAGCTATGGCTTGCCAAGATTAACAGAGCCTGTAAGAGATCTGAAGAGCCTCTTCCGGAAGTACCTCCTCCTGTACCGGTGATCCCAATGAGGATACCGGCCCGTCAGCAATGTCCACGGTGGGCATGGGACTCTCAACCTGATCTCTATACGTGGCAGGTGCACAATGACGTTCACATGTCTTTTGCGGGCCGACCCAATCTGTCGTGTGCGAATTTTCGTATCTTCCTGCAGTTCAGCAACACTTTGCGCTGGAGATTAGGTGAAGGGTTGGCTTGCTCCGTGTTTGAACTTGCCGCCTTTGCATTCACGCAAGGATGGCGTTTCGAGTTGCCAGTGGGAACAATCTGCACAGTGCAATCCTATGCAGCTATCATCCGTGCTGCAATCTCATACTGCAAATCAAAGAGCATCGTGTGTGCCCCACTCCTTCTTGATAAAGGAAATAAGTGTAACGGCAAGACTTTTCCGAAGGGCGCCTTCCTTGGTGCCGAAGCGTTCGTTGACAATTGCACTTTAGAGTTGCTGTTCAGGGCCTTTGAGAAGGGGGCTAAAGCCACTCCCAACTCATGAGCACTAGCCTTTGATTCGCTTCTGTGAATCTAGTTGCCCCTTTAGTTGGTCCATAGACCCATGGCGCGGAAGCACATGGGTCGCCGAAGACCTCGTCGCACGGCATGAGAGCACAAAAAAGAAGGAAGCTCCCCTCACCTGAGGGTGGGGGAGAGCTTCTTTGAAGAAGCGCTCGCACGAATGATTTGGTTCCTAGATTTTTAGGGAAACTTAACGGGCAACAAGAAGCTATTAGGGGCTCTTGGCCTTACTACCAGGAGCAAGGGCGCTACTAGGGGCTCCTGGCATCACTCCTAGTAACAAGAAGCTACTAGGAACAAGAAGCTCTGTCCATCTTGTTTTATGTGCACAGTCGCGGTCTTGAATAAACTAAATACACTTTCACTCAAAGACATCAACCTTTCACACTCTCGCCACACATATTGCTTGGAGTACGTCTGCGTACACCCCTCTACATACATACACAAGTACTATTTGCAGAAACAAAATACTGAATACTTGTCAGTTCAGTCTCTACCAACTTGAAGTCATATTCTACTTAAGTGGTGCAAGTAAAAGGCAGGGCAAACACATAAGTCGGTTGTCAGAGTTCTTCATGATCGGAATAGACATGCTGCGGTCAAATAAGGAACAAAGAAGTCGGAATGGCAGGAGCAAATATCTGGTGCTTCAAAGCCTCTCCTATGGGCTTTAATAGCATGTGACACTGCCGCAGGTTGGTCAAGAGAGGTCGACAAAGGGGCCTTCAACAAAAAGGTGGACATCCTCCATCAAAGCGGCCATGAAAATCTTGGCATATGCAAAGCCTGGGGACAAATCTTGGGCAAAGTCTGATACCATGATTCGAAAAATAGCAGGAGGTAAAAAAAGGCGTAGTCAAACATGAAAGCGTATGAGCTCTCCATCTGACAAGAGCGAGCACCGTTAAACTTGTCAAATACTCTCAACACGAGATTGGCTTCACCTGGCCAAAACGTCATGCCAGGAGGCGCTCAGGCTGTGAGAGCTGACGGACTTGACCCCAGTCCAGAACACAAAGCCGGCCTGGGCAAAAGTTGTAGAGTCACTTGAATAAGACATATGCCAAAACAAACCCAGTTCCTTGATTTACGAAAACAGTGCTCAGCCATTCCTCCTTGGCTTGTTTGTATGAGGCTACACTTTTGCAGGCTCAAGGCTTCCCTTACAGCAAACTTCTGGAGACCAAACCAACTAGCAATGGCTAGAACATGTTATATAGATCATTCTTGACCATAACATTCGGACCGGACAAAAGCATCCAAAAGTAGTGTAATTTTAGGCGACCTCAAATGACAGCCAAAGGAGGAGGGCATTGACTTTGAGGTTCAAGTTTTGTTTGGCCGCTCTTATATTCTCAGGGTGTGCTTGCACATATCAAACCTTTGAGCAGCAACTTTAAACACTAGTTGAAAGATTGTGTTAAACTGTTATACACCCAAAATGCTGAATTTTGCATGTATTATTATTGCTGGCCTGAGCACATTTCAACATGGCCTGTTGACTCAGCAGCGAGCCTGTCTCTTTCTCAACAAGAATATTTCCTGGATGTGGGTCGCAGTTGAAGATCGGCCCATGAAGTGTGAAGCCTGCGCCAACAATCGAGGGGGCACTCGACTCCCAAGTGCTGTAAGCAGATTTTCAAAGCTGGTTGTTTGGGTCAAAGTATCCTGCGTTTGTGGTACTCCCAAGCAGTTCTGAAGCCAGTTCTGAGTTGGAGAGATGTGGAAAAAATACAAGAGGGTGAGTCCTATTGCTTTAAGCATACTTCTACCACTTCCATGAGCTTGGAAGGCTCACATCGTCGGATCAAGCTTCGTCCGCACCGTAGAAGTCGATGAGCTTTGCCATGACCTCCTTGCGCTGCTGGCTGGAGCTCTCAGAAGCTGCCTGCCGAGCCAAAGTCTCGTTTCACGTCAGATGGGGAGGGAGAACTGAAAACCGCGACGACTCTTTTGCATCCAAAGCATCATGAATCATGACCAAAGCTTCTTGAGACAAGTGGCATAGTCTGTGATCTTCACACCTTTCACATACTCCATGGCCAACACCCGTTTTGTCACATACTCCGGAATGACAGCAGGAATGATTATGTCCTTGGTAGCAGCAAGCTTAAAGCCTTCGCAGCTCTGAAGATTCAAGCAGGCTCGTCCAAAAAATTGTCATGCTGACGCTGTGTTACATCTCTTATACTCACCTTCAAATCAGCTCCTTAAAGCATCTGCAAATGAGAAAGCCAGCAATAATTGGGAAACCACAATGTCGCCAAGAAGATATATTCCAAACTCTTCGAGGGCTGGAGAGCCTAACTCACAGACTAGCAGTGTAGCAAAGCCAACAGTGCGCTCAAGGCTCCAAACCAGCTTCGTCAATCTTTGCTCGAGCCATACATTGGTTCTTGGCCTGTCAAGCGCTTCTGAAAGTTTGAGAAAGTTGGAACAGGAGTTGAACAAGCTGAACCTGTCCATGCTCCTATCAGAGTTCATGTTTTCCACAGTTCCAACATGTTCGGAGTCCTCCTATGTATGTTTCTGTTGCTTTGTCTCTTGACATCGACATGACAGCGGCAAACGAGACAAGCCAGACCTCCACACGGAAATCCAGCTCCGCTTTGGACATTGCGGCGGTGTCTTGGATTGTGGCACCAAGATCTGAGAACATGTGCGGCATCAAGCTGGAGAGAAGCCTGCACCAAGCATCTGAGTAAACAAACACAAAATGATAAGTTGCTGGCATGATATTCAGAAACCACATGTCAAGCTTGTGTATTTGATTGTGAATCCGTGTTTAATAGTCATCCATCAAAACAAGCCATGCATCCATGCATCCATGCATCCACTTTCTAACAAAGTGATGAGGATGCATGAATGCGGATGATGAACAGAATGGTCCAAAAGCACCACAAGAGTCAGAAGGACTTTGTAAAGAAACTCGGCCTCTGACACAAAATGTCAAAAATGTGATGATGATGATGATGATGATGATGATGATGATGATGATGATGATGATATGATGATGCTGGTGGTGGTGGTGGTGATGATGATGATGAGTAATGTCATGATGTAATGTGTGAAGTCGTGATCTGTCATGATGTGTGGGTGATTTGGAGGTTCTGAAGCAAGATAATAAAGTTACAGATGGTGATGATGGTGCGGCCATGTCTACATCAAGACTGCTGATGAAAAGCGCCCACATCAACAAAGGCCCTCTACAGAGCAGCAGAAAGCAAAGGTGTTGGGTAGGGGTTGATTTCAAGAGTTATATATAATATATAGAAAGGATTTTATAACATAAAGAGTCTAAGAGTATTTCTGTTCTATCCACCTGTATTGCAACATAGGGCACCAAAAAGATTAGATCAAGAATTACTTCTTTTCAAGCCTCTTGTTTGACATGTACACATCTGAAGAGTTTACTTGTGATGTAATTCTGTTGCAAGGTGTTCTTCTGAATGTCTTTTTGCATGGCGACTAGGAAACTAGAAAAGCTTGGGCCAGGGAGAGTTAACACTGTCTCATTAAGGCCACGGTTTGAGAACGAATTATCTGTGGATGTATGTCCTTTATATATAGTGTGCCTTTTTGGACGTCTGTTTGCATAACTTGCCGTTTGGGGATGTTTGGGGTATTCCTTTGCGAGATTAGTGTATAAAGTAATTAGAAAGGTGTGAGTGCGGGTGGAAATTACTCTGCAGTTAATTTTGCCGCACGAAGCCAGGAAACACTAAGTGGATCATCCAGGTACAACTAAGTCTGCAGTTATACCTCGGCAGAACAGCTGCAATGAAAGAGAATTCTTTAGGGTGCGACTATATTTGTGTATGCTTTCTTTTTTCGCTTGGGACATATTTTTGCAGCTGTGGTTTCCCTATAGTTCCTCTTGTGGAAGTGGAAAGCTATATATATATATGCATACACCTCTTTCTAGAAGAAAGGAGACCATTTTCCATTTCGAGCCAGGCCAAATCAGCCACGGGGCGAACAAAAATGAGACAAGCGGTTCTTTCACCTTAAGGGACAACTCAGGTGCATCGTATGAACAAAACTCTTTAATTCTTTACTCCCTTCTCGGTCGAATACAGGGAGCAATTCAATCAACATACAAAATCCACAGAAGCAACGAAAGATTTAAAAAATAAAGAACAACCAAAGAGAAAATACAAACAACAAAAGTACAGTAGAAAAAGTATAGAAAACTGCCAGAAAAGTAGGAAACGCAACGCAAACTTAAGGCTTGAAAGGCTATGAATAAAAAGTAACGGCAACAAAGACCATGGAAAGCAAATGCAATTTAAAAAAGTAACAATACGCCACTAGAAGACAAGAAGCAGGAAAGTAAAGAATTGCAGTAGAAAAAGCAACGAAAAGCAAGATGGCACAAGAAAAGCAGAAAAAGCATGAGAAATCACAGATAAGCAATGCATTAAAAGCCATGAAAAGCAAGAAAAGCAGCAAGAAAAGCAGCAAGAAGCGGGACAAACATGGAGAAGCGAATCCAAAAACATCCCTGGACGAAACAAAAAAAGCATCCAAAAAAATAGCCCTCATATTTGTTGAACCAAAACACATCTAAAGAAATGACTCTGGAATTAATTCCTGGAACTACCATGCCAGCAGACCCAAATGAAAAGAGTTCAATCAAGAGTTCATTCTAGTGAACCCTTTAAATTAATCCTTTTTTCGGCTGCCTTGTGTTGGTTAAGTTGAGTGAGTTGAGTTGTGTGAGTTCAGCTGTCTGAGGCAGGCTGTGAGTTGAGTTGAGTTCTGTGGGTAGGGCAGCACGGTAAGAATAAGAACCCCACACCAGCATGTGAAGAATAACAACTTTGTCCCAACAATGGAAAGAATGCAGTAGTTTGCTGTTCAGTTGATCTCTCTTGGCGTCCAGCTAGGAATAGGTTCTTGGGCCTGCCCACAAGGACACTGGCTCTTATGTCCACCAGCAGCTTCCTCGGGCTATGCAGAGCAGAGGATCGTTGACGTTGTTCGCATCACACAAAGAGAGAAATCCGTGCGTACAACAAAATGTCCAGAAAGATGGAAACTCGCATGATTCTAACTGGAATCTTCATGTGTGTTCATGATGCTTGGTGACATGTGCAATTTCAACCAAGCATCTCTTCCACGTGTGCGTGTTGCACCTTCAAGACTCCGCGGATCTCCTTCCGAGGGCTGAGTTGGCTCAGTTGGGGCCATTCTGAGCTGTCATCTCACTAGTGCTGATTGCAAGTTTGTCTAAATTTGGCATTTGCAGTCGGTAGTTTCCGAAGCAGTTTCTTCCGGCCAAAGCCCTGAATGAGTACAGAGTACAAAACGTCGGCATAGTCGCATAGTTATATAGTTGATGGGCGTGTGGAAATAAAGCTGTGAGCGAAGGCTTTGGTTTGAGCATCCTACCAGTCAAGTTGTACTGCTCGGGTGGCTTGGAATCATCCTACCAAGGCAACTTGGTTGGCTGGCTAAGGCTGACCCCTCACAAGTGATGGCCAAATCGAACAAAAAAGCTTTCCATAAATCCTCAAAACAATCTGCAGTGCCTGGATGCCCTCCGCCTTGCGCAAGCGGAAGGTGGCCTTGTGCACCTGCTGGCAATGTAGCATATTGTAAACCCTTACACAAGTGTAAACAGAGCCCCCAGAGCTCCCGTTCTGCCAATAGGCTCCGACTCCATCGACGTCATCTGCTGGGAAAGTCCAACATCAAGCTTTGTGCAACTTATGCCCCTAGTAGCGTCCTTGCTCCTCGTAGCGTTGCCCTTTGCTCCTAGTAGCTTCTTGCTCCTACTAGTAAGGCCAGGAGCCCCTAGTAGCGTCCTCAAGGACCTTAAGATCTGCAAGATCTATTCTATAGAGTCACCTGTGCAATGGTGGCACTGCCAAGAACAGGCCCAGGATCGAGCTCAATGTGATCACGCCACGAACGCCCAAGCTCCTGAAAGCAGGCTTGGGATTGGCAAGCCGCAATTGAATGATACAATCCATTATAATCCTATGTTTCACAAAAAGCTTGCTTAAACACAACTTCACTGAGTTGGACTGGTTTTCTGAGTCTACTGTAACTCTAATTTGGCAGCTCACCTTCGTGAGAAGCTTCTCCACCTCCTCAAGGGAATCCGCAGGCATAGCATCCTGAAGCTTTGATAACTCATCCACGTACCTTGCTCGGCTGTCGAATTTTGTTCGATCCACAAACATGTAATTCAAACAAATGCCCTAACCACAGGCCATCATATACAACTGACAAAAGTTTCTTACAATCTATTTGGTTTGGCTAACCAAACAAATTGCAAGAAACTGTTGTCAGTTGTATATGACGGCCTGCCGATAACTCAACCTAGCACCCGTTCGTGCTTCGAAGAAGCTGACTAGATTCTCCAAAATTCTGACAATGCTCACTAACGGGCATGTGTTGTCTCATCTACTCAAAGCCCAGCTGAGCTGCGCATCAGGCAATGCAGAAACCACTGAGGCTGTCTGGGCAAGTTTCACCCAGAAGCCTCCAAGGGACACAACCTAAGGCTGTGCCGCTACTGATCCGTGAACGCACTGCTCAACACAATCTACAAAACAAACGCTTTTTGCGTATCCACTGGGAAGCTTACCCTGACCCTGTCCATTGGTTGATGTGATATGCAAGAGCTACGGAGCAACAACCAAAGCTGATTCCTGCTTTTCAACCAAAGGTTAGCCTATAAGCTGAAGAATCCCACCCACGGTTGAAAACACCACCACAACTATCACCATCGAAGTGGGTGGTATAGTTTGGAACATGGCCGGAATAATAGAGACTGTGAAAGAAATTTGGACTGAAACGGCAATGTGTGCAGTGGATGGGTAACACTTAGCTGTTACAATGGATAGAGTCTGGTCGGCTGACGATCCCTTCATGGCAAGAGCGCTTGATTGAACAAAAAACAACGGCAATTCAAAGCTGAGCTTCAAAAAACGTATTCCCACCAAGGGGCTGTGTCGAAAACAAAGCGGGCGCAAACCTGCGATGAGCGCAGGGAGACATACTTGGTGATCTATCACTAAAGAATGTTGTCACACAACAGCTGATTACACGCTTCTTCGTGCAGGCAACTCAACCCTGAAGCTTGAAAGTGTGCAGGGTCTTATTTCCCTCATTTGTTCTACGAAACAACAAAAGCGCTTTGCCTCATGGACCGCACAAACAGTTTGTACAGGATGTTATTCTGGGGAGAAGTACAACCAACACAGAACAAGACACTGCTCCACTGTAGATCTTTTGTCATAGTACAAAGATCAGAGCGAATTGCAAGGATGCTTCTAGGGTTTCCCTATATAGCAGGTTCCAGATTCAGAAGATCAACGCGACATATCACAAGTTCCCAGCATTAAATAAAGTGTGTTGCGTCTCAACATAGAATGAGCCATATTCGATATGTGTTCATTCAGCATAACTGAAAATGCTGCGCTTTGCCCTGACTCCAATGTCTTAAATGTCAAGAAAATACGGGCAGCTTGGATCAGACTCCATGGCATGAATCACAGAAGGCAAGATGTATCTTTGCTGCTTTTGATAATCCTCTGATTCTTGGCTTGCTCGCGGTCCTCACCTTGTGGCAGAGTGCCCAAATGGCCTCACCTGCTTGGCTTGGCCGCCCAGACGCTCTGCAGCGTGCAGAGAGTATCTTGCTGAAAATCACCATGCATAGCCATGCCACCTGGGTCCCGTTGCCAGTGCCCTGATTCTTGTGCTTCATGTTTGTTGTTTGAGTGCACTTCGAATTGGCGCACAGGCTCATACAAGTTAACTCCATACCAGCCAGGGTACTTGAAAAATCCCCTGCCCATGGACAGCGAATGATGAGATGAACTGGGCTATTACAAACTTCTGTTCGTTCTTGATTGATCGTATCAAATCAAGAGATTGTTCTACCGCAACTTCTTAAACAGCAAAAGGAGGTTCCACATTGTCCCATTGCACCCGGACCTCAGCATAGCGCAGTAGCCACCGCCGAAGGAAGAGTGCAAGAACTAGCAAAGGACTCAGGTGCAGGACTCGCTCCTGCAGGATGAAGCCACGTCATGAGTCGAATGAGTCGAAGGGACAGGATGGAAAATGTGTTGGAAAGGTGCAAAATTGGAGAGCAAGGCTGAGCAGGAAAACCATCTTTTTCTTCTGTCAACTCCAAGACTTGTAGTTGCCTCCCTATCTGCCTCTTATTGGAAGCAATAATGAAGACATAATGTTCAAAGCCAAAAAAACAAACCGTCAGACATGATGTGTTTCACAACACAATCTGAATTTATTCAATGACAAGCAGGCTGGCCACGAAGCACGAATACCTGACCGCATTCAAATGGCTCCTGAGTCCCGAAGGTGGCTAGTAGTGTAACAAGTAGGGCAACACCCAAAGCAGCAAAGGCGCGCCACCAGAAGCGAACGCTGGCCCTTGGCGATATCGAAATTGAATCACCCAAGGAAGTCAGACGGCTTTCTCAGAAGGTCAGAAGCCGCTAGTCTCGGCGAACAATTCATAAGCAGTGATTGTCACGAGGAAGGTTGTCGAGTTCAGCAGGGTTGATTCCCTTATGTATTGCATCGTATTGCAAATGCTTTTCTTCTCTCAACAAATGCAAATTGGGTGGGGAGAAGGCTCTTTGAGACTGTGGGATCACCAGGCCAAATAGGTTTCTTCCCACCAAGGAGCAGTGCATCTTCCACATGGAATTCCACCAATAAGTCTGTGGTGCTACCCCTGTCTTTCGAAAGTTCCTTGGAGACGACAAGCACAAAGTCACTGCGCAAAACGGCAAACCTCATCATGCTTTCAATGGGCGTGGGTGCCCACACGAACACAGTCGAGCCTGCAAAGTTAACCTGACAGACACGTACATCAGAAAGGACTATTGGAATAGACGATAGACACATGCTAGACAGGGAGCAAGAGAAGGCCCACTTGTAGACTAAAAACCGTCAGGGTGATGATCCTGCCTAGGATATCAGTGTCCAAGACAGCATTAACTAAAATGAGCCGAACTCACATCTGCAGATCTGTACTAAATCGGTATTAGGGTTGTCGACTTTGATTGACCATTCGGTGAAAGCAGGTACGTCAGGGTGATCAGCTATTGGGTCCGCAGTTACTATGGCCATTCACCCTGCTTCAAAAGTAGCTGACTCTCGTTTCCGTTATGTTCACACATGACACACAAGGGCAGGGGGTTAGATCGAGGGCCCTCGAGTCTGCATTATGTTCTTTGCAGTTGGTTGCTGGAGGCAGAACGAATGGTGACTTACATACCCTACTAGCCTTGGCACCTGCCCTTGGCCCTACTAGCCTGCAACCCAGCCCCAAAGAGTACTGTGCAGGAAAGCAGGCACGCAAATGGGCATGCCCATCTGCATCAGCAGAAATTTAATGTCTTGCCCATTCCAGGAAATTGTGCAAGATCAAGCAGGAAAAACTTTGCTTCAACAATCAAGTGCAAGCAAGTATGTCCAGAAGGCGTCCCGGGATTTCACAAGCACGCTACGAGCCTTTGTTGGTTCCTGCTGGTGAAAAGAAGGAAAGGAAATAAATCACTGGGAAACCGGGCTTTCACACACGCCCTGATCGCTCTGGACGCTAAGCTGTGGGCTGAGTTTTCTTCTACCGATGCCACAGGGACCTGCAGGTTCCAAAGTGCACTCAGTGCGAAACAAGCAGCAATCAAAACCCAAGCTGAACAAAACTTTGACATGACTGGAGTCTATCTCTTCAGTCTGGGGTTCATACACAACAAACCACCATGGAAGAACAAACCACCATGAAAGGAAAACTGAATAATCAATACCATTGACAGCCTCTGGCATCGGCACAACGGGACTGGCTTTCTTGGCCCAACAGCGGGCACAGCGGCGCTGCGGCACTGGAGCACCTAACAGGGTGGCTGACAAGAACGTAAAGGGTCCTTAATGTGCTAGGAACAATGCGTTCAAACAATGAACTTCCTGGTAAAGCCAGTAGCATGCAAATTGGCTCGCAAATTGCTCTGTTGGGATGATGATCTGCTTGAATCCCAGCTATGGCGAGAAGAGCACATCATAGAGTTTTTCGCGGCGCTGGGTGTGGGGCCCAGCCACTTGGAAGAAACTTGGCACATGAGAAGCATTCCCTGCATGTTGTTCAACTATCTTACAGTTCTTTCAAGCATGATGCACGTAAGAAAACCGTTATGAAAAAACTATCCCGTGTAGAAGCAGAAGGTCTAGAGATCTAGACATATTGGGTTCCGGAGAGATTTAGAGGTCCAGAGATCCAGAGGTCCAGAGCTCTTGAGATCCCCAGAGGGCTTGATATTTTGGGAGATCTAGAGGTCTAGGAATATCTAAATGCACAAACGTCCAAAAAGGGTAGAGCGCTAGAAGTCTAGGAGATTTGAGATCCAATCTAAAGGTGTGAGTTCCAGAGCTATCAAGAGCTCTAGGGGCCTAGAAACCCAAATGTTTCAAGGTCTAAAAATGTGAGTTGTAGAGGTCAAAAGATCTAGAGGTCTTGACATCTAGAGGGTTCCAAAGGGCTAGAGTCTAGAGAGATGTAGAAGCCTGGTAAGATCTAAGAACCTAGAGATGTAGAGAGATCTAAAGGTCCCACGGTGTACAGATCTAGAGCGGTGAAGGTCTAGAGACCTAATTAGAAGCGTAGATGCATGAGGTGTGGAGGTAGAGAGATGCGGAGGTCTGGGAAGATCTACTGGTGTACAGTCGTATGAGCAGCACACGCGCTGCACCTGCCACGAAATCTGCACCTCAAGATTCACATTGCGCACCTCTGCAAAGGCGTTTCACAACAAAAGCATTTGCAAAGACATCAAAATGCCAAAACGCAGCTTTCGCTTGATACTTCCTTTTTCTTGCAATGGTTGACACAACAGGCCACCAAACCCAAATCCAAGTGGCACCGTTGCAAGCTGCAGAAGACATGCCCACTTCACCCCGCCTGATCACGGTCATCTGCGCGCTTTAATCAAGCCGTTTGCTTGCAATGCTAGGGTCCTGACAAGACCTCAGACGCGACCAACGCGCTGGTTTTGCGGCAGAAAACCTCTGTTGTGGCTGGAAGAATCAGCCCATTCATTTCACACGCCAGCGATACTCCAGTTGACACGAATAGAACTCGAGAGCTGGCAGCACATATGACACAGGCTGCTTCACGCGGGTTGTCCGTCAGCTGGGCAAACCAAGGCAGGAACAGCCTCATGCTCTGTGGCAAAAGCATCTGCAGCACAAGTGGTCCACTCAATTTCGCTGACATCCAATGTGACAATGAACGCATTGTAAAACAACTGCGCTGCCCACGCCGATTCTTTGCAGGTGGTTGCGCTCGGGTTTTCATAGTCGAAGAACACCAAGCTAATCTGCCCGCAGCGAATTCGAGGGCTCTGAGTGGGTGCGCTCTCGAGAGCTTTGACAATGCAATTGCTCAACTGCCGCCCGAAGCATGCATCGCATGATGCGACATGTGACCCCACACCCAGCTTCGCATCCAATGAAGCACAATGTCCCGAAACGGTTGCATGTTCAAATTGAGGTACTGCCCACGGCTTTTGCAACATCTGGTAAAGGGGAGCTGTGGCTTGAGCCACCGACAACCGCCAGCAAACCAAAGCAGCATGCCCACGAAGCGCTCCACTAGCCGGCACTCCATCTTCTTTGCCGGATGGCAGAGTGCTTGCAGAAGTTGTTTTTTTGGAGCGCTTTTCGCTCCGGAATGTACTTCAAAGGAGCATAGGCCCAAGCGATGTTTTTTCCAAACTTCATTTTTCCCAAAAGAACGGCATGCAGAGCACACATGAAAAAAGCAAGCAAGCAAGCAAGCAAGACCCCGTCATCCACATAAAGAAACCGTCCATGTTATAGCAAAATAAAGCGATGCAGGTGCCGCAGCTCCCACCTCTTGTTCAGCTGCCAAAGCTTCCTTTAGTTTTCAAGCTGCAAACACAAAACGAAGGACACAAGGGAGCAAGGAAGGAGGGTGCGCTGCTGCACTTGGGCAACAGGCTAGCCCTGATTTCTGACAACCAGCCACATGTCAAAGGTCACGCTTCACTCCACCTGCCACGAAATGTCGTTTTTTTTGAATGCCGTTTGTAGCCTCGAGATGGCCTTCAAACACAACACTAACGCCGTCTTAGCGGTAAATGTTTGATACCAAAATTTTAGCTCTCGCCCAGTTTTTAACCACCCCACGCCCAGCACCCCTAAAACTCACTTCATTCGCCTACTTCAGCCTAGCCTATCGGCTGGCCTTCGTAAAGAAAGGTAACACTGCCAGCAAGCTCAAGTGCAAGAAGGCTTTGCCGACTTTGAGGATGTGTTTCTTTGTTAGAGAAACATACAGGAATACAGCATGATTCCATACGGTAAAGCAGGCATCTTTTTCCGTGGAGAATGAACTCTCAAATCTGCCTTGAAAAGGGCGGTGGTTCAGCAGACCTTACACGCTCCTTATATGAACAGTAGTGTCAGCAGTGTTAAAATAACACTGGGAAATCAGTCGTGGTTGGTAACACACGGACTAGCTTTTTATGTCATCTTTGATGAACATACCTGATCACCCACTGTTAAATAACCATCACCCACTGTTCACTAAGGAGAGGAAAGGTTGTAGGTCCGTAGGCCTAGCCACAAAAAGGAGTTCGACTGGGAAGGACAACTCGCACAATTGCCAGGGTTGGGTTTGGGTCCATGAATCCTCAATACCCAATCTGGACAACCCGTCTGACGGGTTACTGGCAGAGTCGATCCATTCAATCCACGGTCGAATCTGGCGTTTCTGGAAAATCAAGTGCGACAGCTGGACAATGGTGTGAACGTCTTCTTGTCCGCTGGAACCTGTAATTAATGAGGAAACAGCAGCCTCATTATCAACGAACCAGAGGAGATCTCGACCTTCCAGGAGATCACCATGGACCCACGGCACGAGGAGTCCACAAAGCGTCTCTCCAGGGTAGATCTGCTGATGACGTGTTATCCAGGTATCTGTCACTGCCGATGGGACGAGACACGACACTCCTAATGGAGGTGAGGTCATAAGTACCCATCCAACTCGTAATGTACCGTTTTCGAAGGATGCATCCGAGTAAATCACCAGGGGGATTTGGTAGCTGAGCACACCTCAACATCCCGGGGCCTGGCTGTGCGAAGCATGATGCTGAGAAGGTGGAGGGTGGTGGCCTCAGATTCCAGTAGGACAGGGGATGAAGCATGTTGCTATGCGGCCAGCACAGGGCCAGCAAAGCGGCCTGCGTGTCCTGCGCACATGCTGAAAAGCCAGTTGAGGCCACCACGAAGCTTCCCTGCATCATCTGGGCGGAGTTGCTTGGTCGCGATCGCCTCGTGGAGCTTGGCTTGGACTTTCATGGTTGTGGAAGTCTTTGGTTGGAATCTGATGACCCCTACGTGGACAGATGTGCCAAGGTAATGCCTATTGGGTGCCGGTACGAAGCTCTTGGAACTCTGCGGTGGGGCACCTAACAACTTGAACACAAGTTGTATAGGTTTCTTTGGGAGACATCGCAATCACGAATGCACTCCACTGCCAGTTCGTCGTCAAAGTACGCAGCTGCACACCCTAATAGGCAGCGCCTAGTGATGGCAATACCAAGTTGTGGGAAACGGTTGAAGTTCACCACAGCACTTTCCAAGCCATACGCCAGACCCCACATACATGTAAATCTCCAGCCCACCCCCGGCGCGAAAATAGCCACATTTGAAAAGGGGAGGTGGGAATCGGCTACAGGCAAACCCCGATAGGCATCCGGTAGGTCATCCGTACCCAGACGGAGGTCCAGCCATTCTGGGGGTTCCCCAAGAGAAAAGGGCATCTCTGTATGCAACATACGTGCTACGGACGCACAGAAATCAACGTTGACAATTGATATTGTTTCGTGCATCGTAGTATGGGCATTATGACCACTTTTCCTGGCGTTATCAATGGCCCGTTTCTTCCCATCGGGTTGAATGATGAGGAAACGTTCCACAAAACGCCACCCCCCAACCCCAAACAAATCATCCATTTCAAGTGCTGTGCGCAAAGGCGAGCAAAATTCTTTTT